GCACACATACGCACACACACACACACACACACTAAATATTGACACCCTATAAGGGGAATGAAATAATGAGCAGAGGATGGGAATATGAAACATTTTATGGAGCCAAATTGTATTAAGATTGGATAGATAATCCTCAGTTATTGGATTTCCTAGGTACAGAACTCCTCCTTGCATTGTCCTACATTTTTAGACATTAAGTTTAGTTTATGTTGGAAGTGTTTTTGTATTGTACTTGGAAAGTTTAAATGAGTAGAGTGTGTGTGGCGTCTAGGCCTCCTGGAAACCTCCACTGTCAAAATTCAGTGACAAATCACTATATAGTCATGGTGTAATATACTGTATCACCAATTGTACAAACAAGATCAGGTGTATTAAACCTTCTAATAAGCTTGCGGTATATAAAACTACCTCAGATCACAGCTATATTTGAAGACTAAATAAGCTAATAGGCAAAAAAATGGGGTGAAAAATGTCCACCCAGTTTTGGGATTCCATTTCACTTTTCTTTGCAACCAAAAATATTAGAAATATTAAAAAAGGTATTATTAAAAGGGTTCTAGCCAATGCTGAATTAACATGTGGTACATTATTATCACTGATAATTCAAATATGAAGCACACTGGAATATGAACTGCTTCTAGAATACAGTATTTAGAAACTTTTAGGATCTGTCCCTTCTCTAGTGTCTACTCCCCTTCAATAAAAAAAGAAGTCAATCTCATACTGTAGTTTCTTAATTACCTTAGTAGCTAAGCAATTCCAACCATTGATTTTAATAATTTAAATTAGAATTGAATGATCGGTGACACCTTTTTCTTCCCATCTTCTTGGCCCCCAAGGAAGTTTGAAAGCAACCTGTTTTCACAGTCAGCTTTGACATCCAGGACCATGTTGTGATCCCTATAAGCCAATCACTATTCTCGTCAGCTGATTTAATGGAAGAGTGCTGAAAATGCTGTTGAATCAGTTTGAAATCCCCTAATGTGGAAAGAAAACCAAAATCTCCTGATTTAGATTTAGACTCTGTTTTCTAAACAAAACAGAATACATAATGTATTGCAATCTAGACAGCTTCTAGATATGTTGGTTTTAACTTCCAGAATTCCTTAGTTAAGGTGATCCTTGGTCAATTCTCAGAATTCTGGAAATTGAGGTCTGGAGGATTCCTTCATTGGGAAAGACTAGAATATATATAATATTTATTTATGAATTGGGTGAGAAGCAACTCATCCCGCAGTACAACTAGCATTTCAAAGGGGATGGTGCCATGTGAGTGGTGGGCAAGCATGTACACGCAGCTCCATTTGCGTGAGTGGTGGCACACTCTCCCCTTGCGCAAATACAGTGCACAAGTGAGGATGCGCATGCACACACTCCCCAACCACTTCTGTGGCCCGCTTACAAATGGTTCGAGGCCCCATAGTGGGCCATACCCCTGGACTAGACAAAACATGATTCTAATTGATTCATTGGTCAATGATGATTAAGTGAAAGCCAACTTGGAATGAAGGATATGTGGTTGAACCATTTATAACTGGGATCAGCAATGTTCAAAAATAAAACATAAATTAATTTGCTTAAATTAAAAATGGCAAAATTCCTGAGTTATTCAAGGAAGAACCTCTTGCGCATGTAACTGTTTTGCTAAAACTATCTAAAGTGAGTTAGCGCCACCTAAAGATTCTGCATTATCCTGACCATAGCTTCATACTAAGTATCATTGGTGGAATTACTTTAGAGAAAAAGAAATGTTATATTTACAGCATGTTTCAGGAACTATAGTAGTGTGTGTAGAGTGTTCCTAAAACTGATTAATGAGAAACAATAGAAATCATTATCCTGATCTCAGTTTAATGCATTTTTAAACCATATTTGCTATAGATTTTGGTCAGAAAAAAACAATTTAGTGAACTTTGAAGTTTAAGCAAAATGAGAAAATATACTAAAATATTTTAACATTAGCATTAGATGCCATGGGAGCATCATGGAGGGTATCGGTCAACAAGGGATCTCCAGCACTTTTGGTCTTGGTCAAGTACTTCAGCGTCTACCTATGTGATGTTTAGTCTTCCATGATTTTGATCCACAATTTCATAAAATCATGATTCCATCATACTAAATATTTACAGAATGTATATTGTACATTAGCTATATATGAATAATTCTTGCTTAATCTGTGTCTGAAGATTATTAAATTCTACCTTTTCTCTTTTTCCAGGTAGGATGACTTATCAGCTGACTAGTGTTGATGAATGTTAGTCTAATGCAGGGGTCCCCACTCCCAATCCTCAGACCAGCATCTCTCTGTGGCCCAATAGGACCGGTGCCGCATAAGCAAAGCCTCATCTGAGTACGCACAGGATCCAGACAAAGCCAGCCGCTCCTCCTCCCCAAAAAAAATCTGGGGAAAAACTGCCCTCCATAGCATACTATAAAAATATTCAACGAAAAATAGCGAGATTTTATACCAGTCAAAGGAGTAGCCTATAAAATTATTTTGGTAGAAATGTTATTAAATGTATAGAGGTATCTAAAGTGTGAAAGGTTTTAGATGTACTTTTTAATCCTGACTCTTCATTACTGTTTCAAAAGCCTATATTATAGTTTTTGTTTTAAGGTGGATACTCCATGAATTGTAACACCAATCATTTTAATCTATAAAAATACATTATTTTTATTTCAATATGCAAAACCACCTTTTTCATTGTGCAGTTTCTTTCATACTTAATATGACTAAGTTATACTACTTCTGAGTATTTATTATAATGACCAAAATATGACCAAAGAAGAAACCACAAATGCAAACAGAAGATTTGATTTAAATTTACTAAGAAAGTTGCAGAACAGAATACATTACCTCCAACCAGAATGGATTAAAAAAATAGCATATTATAAAGGAATTTATTAAAGAATCTCCAGTTTCCTTATCTAAGTATATCATAATTAAACCAATTAAGCGTTTAAAAAGTATTTACCTTTATCTTTATAAATATGCAGAAAAGCACTACGATATTAATTGCAACTGGTGCTATCTTATTTAACTCCATTAATGCAAACAAACTGACTTCTTATCCAATCCTTGCAAGTTAAAGAAGCAGCAAATTGCTTTAGATAGTAACATCCAAAGAAAAGTATACTTAATTCTGTTCAACTGTGGGAGCTTTGGACTTCTTCAATACTTCCCCGACAATTCCAAATCAACTTTGGGCAAAAATGGGTTGTGCATAGCCATTTGTGATATGTCAGCAGGTTTTATATACAAATATATGTATATATCTGCCAAAGGGAGATAAAAAATCCCTCGACTTGGCCTTGCCTAAAATGGCTCAGTAGATTCCAGCCGAAATACAAGGATTTTTTTAAAATTGTCTATGACAAGTATAAAAGAATAAAAAAGAAACCGTGGAGACATTTTTGCCAACAAACCACATTTTCTTTCCTACTGCTCTTCTTAGTGTTAAAAATTGTACAAAAAAATATGGCCAACTGATTTCTCATTTTGCACATTGAAAAGTAATTCTAGATAGATTTGCAGCAATCTGTTACATACCACATGGTCTTGGATACTTTAATGTTAATATTTTACCAACTTTGTAATGGTTTTATGGAAGGCAATGTCAAAATTTCAATTAAACAATTAAATGCTTCAAGAAATCTAAAGTCAAATACATGTATTTGGAGAACATGCTACTTCCAACATCTAGTTCCAGCCTAGTTCTTAAGGAACTTGTTTTCCAAGTTTCATTCCATCTCGAAGTCAGAGTGGCTCAAAGCTTAGCTTTGCCTGCTTGGAGCTGTAGATTCTGTAGCTTCATCGCCATGCCCATATTCCCAGTAATTTTCAACTTCCCTTGAAAGAAAGCCTAGATTAAACAAAAAACAGAATTACATTTCACTTGTTAATGTATTCATTCAATTCTAAATAAAGTGTCTTCAAAGATCACGCCTTTCAAGGTTGGAAGGCAAAAATTTGAGGCTAAATAGGTGGTTTTATTTTAACATTAACTTTTTCAAGCATGTATAAATCAGTCTACAGATCAATTTATTTAAATAGGAGATGAAGCAAATAATTTTATCAAAAAGGAAAACATTTTTACTTCTTTAGGCAAAATAATTTTTCAGTGAGGTCTCGATACAAAAGCCATTTTGACAATAACTAAACTAAAATATAACTGAGAATTAAAAATTCTAAAGAGAATTTTAAAAATTCTTTTCTTTTTTAGTTTTTACCATCACTAAAATTCATTATTAAAAAAAAGCAAAATGTATTTATGGAAGTAGCCACTGTGGACCACAATTAAACAAAATTGAACGAAGCTAGAGTCTTTTCACAGAAATGTGAAAAGCAAATAAAATAAATAAGCATGTACTGACAACATCTAGAATTAATTTAACTGTCATTTAATCTAAAATAATCGAGAGGGGAAAATAGGGCAAGCTGTTTTCATTAATCCTCTGCAATAAAGTAATAGAGATATTGTAAGTGGTATGATTTATTTTGCTTTTTACTTACGGTCTGAGGATTTATTTTGCCCGTCATCAGTGACAGCAAATCATCATCACTCATTACAATTGTACAGTCGACTTTCTTATCTACAGTGGCCAGAAAAAGTTAGTAAATATTAGTAAATATTAGAATATTTGAACAGGACACTAATTCCTAAAACATGATCTCTGTACTTGAGGATGTTCTACTTTCAAATTATGGGTGACTTGGTAAAAGTAAGATATCAAACGTTCACAAATATTGATGGCAGACAAGTCAAAATTATAGCTGATAAGGTTATGACAGAAAAGTTGTTACAGGTAATCCTCAATTTACAACCATTTGCTTAATAACCATTTGAAGTTACAGCAGCACTGAAAAAAAGTAACTTATGATCATTTTTCATACTTACGACATCCATATCCCCATGATCATGTGATCAAAATTCAGGTGCTTGGCAACCAGTTCATATTTTTGACGGTTGCAGTAACCTGGGGTCATGTGAAAACCTTTTGACAACTTCTGACAAGCCAAGTCAATGGAAAAGCCAGATTCATTCAACAATTGTTTGTTTACTAACTTAACAACTACAGTAGTTCACTTAACAATTGTGGCAAAGAAGGTTATAAAATGGGCAAAACTTATTTAACAACTGCCTTGCTTTGCAACAAAAATTCTGGCCTCAATTGTGGTCGTAAGTCGAGGATTATCTATAGTGAAAAAATAACCATTGACAGAGTCTTGGCTATGTATTATCCAGATCTTATTACTCAATTTATAGAATAACTTTGGATAAAAAAATAGTGATTCATATATTGTATTGGAAGACCTGAAAGACCAGTTTAGGAGATTATCATGGAAAAAATCCATGCGGTTGCTAGGAGTCAAGAATGACTTGATGACATATAATAAAAAAGTCAACATTATGGTGACCAACCACAGCAAGAAAAATCTTAAACTGAGGAATATAACTTTTCAGGGGTTTATGCCTATATCTGATCTTTCAGTGTTATAGTAGCAGATGTACTCAAAAAAGTAAGCAGGGCCAGAACAAAATAAAAAATTGATTAAATTTAAATATGATCAAATTCAAATATAATGTGCTACAGAGTTCATATGGTAACTCCTTATGTATTAGTATTATTTTCTTTCTATCACGTACAAAATTATAAGCCAATATAATTTTTTAGTAGGGATAGGTGACCACCAACAAAATTTTGGTGGTCTACATTTAAAAATGTTGGCTGCCTAGTTGATCTTTGCATGAAAACTGGCAGCATTATAATCAACAGCACTTTTCATAACACAGCCAACTAATAGGCAAAAAAGCCAACAATGCTGTATCCAAAAGTGAAGAGAAAAAGGGAACATAACTAAAATATTTCAAACATTTTCTTCTGCCTTACATTTCAGATGCAAGTGTTTTAAAATTGGAACTTGTAAGAAAGCATCAAGTCAAGAATGAATAGCTTATACTACTTTTCATCAGGGTGGATAAAATTGGATTTTAAAAAAATCAGATTTTTACTATTTAAATCAGATTTTTTTATTTTTATCAAATTTATTTTCATAAAATGCTTTTGGAGTAAAACTATTTCTAAAGATAGTTTTCTATTTAAGATACATTCATAATTTAGTTTATTCAACATGAAATAACATAGCCAAGGTGGCGCAGTGGTTAAATGCAGCACTGCAGGCTACTTCTAGCATGCTCAGCATGAGGCTGTATACTCTGTAATATTTACATTTTTGGTAAACTCATTCAATGAATCCAAGCTCTGCAAGCTAAATAGGAAACCTTCATTTTGTTTGCAAGTAATAATATTAAAGATTCTAACTACCAGCAAGAATGAGTCCTTTCATTTTAAGAGCACCTATTATTTCAGATCCATCATGGCAGCGCCTGTTAGTGGGCATCCACTCACCTGCTGCATGCCACGTCTTTCACCTTGTTGTGTCACTGCATCACCAGCTGTCCCATTAAAGCAAATGGGACTGTCGGTGACTCAACAGCGGGTGAGAAGAGGAGCTGCTGCTGGACAGAGATGACAGTTGCTCTTTTATAATTATGATTTAAATCAAGTTGATTTAAATCAAGTCTTTTTACTAGTGATTTAAATCAAATCCACCCTGCTTTTCAGTGCATCACAATCATTTACTTGCAGATGTAATAATGCAGTCTCTAATTATGCCCATTCCTAGACTTCATCCACACCCACAGTATATAATTTGCTAGACCTTTAACCCAACAATCTAAGAATTTTTTTAAAAAACGCCCACTCACCAGTGTCACTATCCACACAGCCTTTACCATTTTTCACATCAACTACCCAAGTAGCTTCTTTCCCCTCAGGACCATCTTTTACTTTAAAGGCAAAAATGCCACCAATTTTCTTGACATACTGTTCTCCTTCCTGTAATGTAAAAGTTACAATCATTAAAATGCTATCTTAAAGTGGATGGGTGTGACATATTTTAACATGGTAAAGCTTTATAGACATTTCTCATTAATCTGAGTGAATGATTCCAAACAACATTATATATGGCAATCTTTGGAGGCTGGAGAAGATGCGCTACAGTTCATTTATGAGCTCTACAACCCCCGTCTGGAAACACAGTGTAGTCACCGTGTTCTTCAGTGACACTGCTCACAGTTTTATATCAGTTTTGGTGGCGCCTGCTTTCAAAGCCATTGGAGACACACATCTCACCTGGTTAGCAATCCAAATAATATTAGCAAATATGATATCACCACTTTAAGTTAGAGACTTGCAAGAGTAAGTGGAAACACTTAAGAGGATGAACATTTCTTGGATTAAAGGATTTGCTGTCAGAGGGAGTCAACCCAATAAATGAATGATTAAAAAAGAAAAAATCAAGTACAGCTGAAATGAAGAAATAACTCCCACATGCTATGTTTCTAAGATCACACCAAACAAAAGACAAGAAATTGGGGCCTTGAAAAGCATAATGGCCACAATTACTACCTGAGGAAGACAAAGAACAGAATTCTAATAATAACTGACTTCCTAATAAGAACAGAACGAATGTAGACTTTCCAGACTCTCTGTTCATAAAATATCATATCTTTTTAGATTACAGATCAAGAACATAATGGAGTTGTTGCTAAGGTTTAGCATACCTACTGCCAATGGTAGTGATAGTTTTATTTCGTTAGAACGGGGATCTCCAATCCCCTGTCTTTGGAACACACCCGGTTTGTGGCATGCCAGAAACTGGGCCGTACAAACAAGTGAAGCCCCATCGTGGGATGCAGGTAGCTGTGAAACCACGCCCCCTCTGGTCTGCGGAACCAGCCCCCAGTATCCAAAAGGTTGGGACCACTACTTTAGAAGTAGTCCAAGGTGGATGAGAATATTTTTTTTAAAGGTATTAAAATGACTATCGCAAACAACTACAACATGGAAAAAATGAAGAACTTAAATTTGCTGACACTAAACAGGACAAGATAACGAATAGTGGAGAAAACAGAAACAAAATTAAAAATGACCTTGACAGTTTAGAGAAGTTGGGTAAAAATAACAAAATTAATTTTAGTAGTTACAAAGTTTTTTAATCCAAACAAATTAAATACAATACACAAGCAGAAGATGAACTAGATATGAATGATACATGTGAAAAAATAGAATTATAATCCCAAACTGAGTATCTTTCAGCAACTTTGCGGCTGCCAAAAGGCAGACGGAATAGTTACACTCCAATTTATAGAGATCAGGTGCCCCACTGAGAATTGTACTCAGATCTTCCTATCACAATTTAAAAAGGATTCAATACTGATATTTGGGCAATGAAAAGCAATAAGAAAGATTAGCAGTCTAGAAATTAAATCCCATGAGAACACGTTGAGTGCAGTGGTGGGATTCAAATTTTTTTACTACTGGTTCTGTGGTCATGTCTTGGTGGGCGTGGCATGCCTTTGTGGGAATGGCAGGGGAAGGATACTATAAAATCTGCATTCCCTCCCCAATCCAGGGGAAGGTTACTGCAAAATCCCCATTCTTCCCCCGCCCCATCAGCTGGGACTCAGGAGGGAGAGAATAGATGGGGTTCTCCGAACTACTCAAAATTTCCACTACCAGTTCTCCAGAACTGGTCAGAACCTGCTGAATACTACCTCTGGTTGAGAGGTGTATTTAGCCTTAATCATAGGCAGCTGAAGGACAATATGTGAGAATTATTTTAGTGAAGAATTGAGAAGAATGGGCACATAGAAGTTCATTTCCACTTCTTAGTTATCACAGAGTTGAATACATGGACCAATGATTTTAGTTACAGAAAAAAAAAATATTGCAGTTGAATGTTGAGAAAAACCTTGCTAACAGAAAGAATAGTCTCACAATGGAATTGACTTCCAAGGGAGATCATGAGGTCATCTTTTCTGGAAGAAAAAGTTGGAGATGCTTAAACTGGCATGTTGAGCAGTAGGGTCTGATTTGTTGGTTGCAATAACATAAACTCTAGGGCTCTTGCAGTTTGTATGAAAGAATGGAAGTTTTTGAACTGCAGCTCTTTCTTTAATACTGCACAAGCACTCTTACCTGAAAAAAATGCTCTTTAAGGAGAGTAAGTATCCTCAACCATAACCAGTGTCAAGATAGTATACCCATGAAACTTGAAGTGGCTTCATTTTGAGTGAATTGTTTCAGGTTACAATGCCAAGTGTATATGGACATAATTATCTGAGATACTAAATACTTATCTCCACAATCTATAACATGATAGCTAATTATTTTGCCAAGTTGAATCCTGCCCTGTCCTAGATTTCATTCTCTGCCTAGAAAAAGGCTGAAGCAATTGCAGGCAGGCAAGGCAAACCCAGAAACTTAGGTTTACTGTGAACATTTTGCTACATGTTAGGAAAAAATGTCTCCCCTCCCCCCAATATGCATTCAAGCATATTGCTCCCTATCTCCAGTACAAAGTGGCACTCTTAATCCAACTTCCCATTATACGATTAATATTACCACCAAAACATGATCAGGTTTTTCTAGTTCCAAGGTTACTCAACAAAGATATATTAATAGTACAAAGGCACACAATTCCATGTAAATGATCAATTTTTAATTTTTTTACAAAGTGCAATTTGTATTTCAGAAATTCATTATAGCTACTATTAAGACAAAGACAAAAATGATTACACTGTTCTGTCTCTTAATTCTGACCTATTTTTTCTTTATTTTGTAAGTAAAAAAAACTCATTACAAGGAAAATTAATCTGATAATTAAAAAGACTTCATTTTGGCAGACCAGCCATATTCAAATAAAATAATAATTTGTGTACTTCAAATATTTCTGTGCCGGTACATAAATTAGTCTTTGGCAATGTATTTTATAAGCATATTTACTGTACAAACCTCTTGAAGTTTCTTTTCAATTTCTTTGAATACAAGTGCTGATTTAAATCCATCAACCATTGCTCTAGTGGGAATGGCCTGGATATTCCGATTCCTGAAATGGGAAAAAAATAACAGTATCAATGAAATAAGCAGATTCCAACAAGCAATTTTCCATACAATCTAATTATAGTTTGCATGTATCACACATATTAAGCCATAATAGTGGTTTACAAAGCATAATTCCTCAAATGCACTAAGCCAAAATCAAACAGCCTCTACAAGGGAAGGAAGAGGGAGAGAAATATTTAAATATGTCTTTTAAATAGAAATACAGGGTAATCTGAAGGGGGAAAAAATCTAATCAGAATTAAGAGGTGCACGTAGGTAGAAACAATGTTTAACATGCGAAAAAGGCAAAATTTTATATTAATAATTTCTATAGCTAAATTAGTCAAAACATCTCCTGGCAATCAGCTGTGAACAATAGTTATGAAAGTGTAAAATGGAAATGATGAAACAAGCTTATCTTTTCTGTAATTATTCAATACCTATCCTAATGTTCCAAATCCTTGCTAACTGATCAGGCAAGATTTTAGCAATATAATTTTGCTACACGCATATGTCCAGCAGAAACACACATTCACAATGTAGGTAAAATCTGCACATTCTTTGAAAAGTATTAGGGAAACTTTCTGTTTGAACCCAATTTTACTTCCACCCTCCCAAAATTGCCATAAGCAAAATCAGAGTAACCTCCTCCACATATTACTGTAAAGATAAAACAGGGTAAAGATATAAAAGATGCAATCTATCTTAAGCCCCTGGGGGTGTGCGATTTAAAAGCTGAAATGCTTCATTTTCCAGTTGAGCAAGATAATTACTTAACACAGCAATGTGAAAAAAAATGAATTCACCTTGAGAAAGAATATAAACTTGAGTTATTACTAGTTCAATTAACTTCTAATCTAAAGCTATTATTTTCTAGAAAAGATAATAATCCTGAGAAAGAGAGTAGTGGAATATAAAAATACAAAATCCTGAGCCTGATTTGGTTTAGTGTAAAATGGGTCAGAGCAAAACTTAAACGAAATTCTTTCGTTTCCATCTTATCATAAGAAATCCAGGCTGGTTTAAAACTGCCAACTATTTCCATTAGGTTTCTCATACTGGGAATCTAAGTAGTCTTTTCTAAATCTAAAGCCCCCATGCATGTTTTCCTCTAGTTCATCATAATCTGCTCTTTGTAAAGAATTTTATGCACATTACACTAAAGCTACTTATTAACTGGAAAGACCTTTACGGACATCTGCTTTGTGTACTGAACTGGTACTTGATCTAATAGTTACAAATGATCCTGGTTCAAGGCTATGCTCATATAAAATGGATAATTTTGATCAAGCATTATCTCTCTTGGTCCAGTTTTGCAACATTATAGTGTGAAAAAAATATTGTGGACTTGGGAATATAGGAGATAAATCTGACAAATGAACAAACCATTATTTATACAAAGAAATGTGCGCTGCCAACCATAGAAAAACTATTAAAGCATGCAAATAGTTCTCTCTCACGTATGTGAGAAAATGGAGAAAATCAATGTATAAGTAAGCACAGGACCCAGGAAATAATTAGTTAACTGCCTAAATAAGTTTTTTGCAATCTAAATTTCCTTGCTCTTTATCATAACCTTATAAAATGATTTGGATACTCCTAACTGTTGCCTAAAAGAATAATCCATAGGTGATCAATACATGACCAATCTTAATTCACCTTACAGTATTATGGTACAAAATTGGCCCTCACCTTTTCTAGGCAATTTAAAACTTGTTCTGTATATTCTTTTAACTTTACAGTTTTTAAAAGCTTTTTTAAAAGAAAAAAATGGAAGTATATTTGGAAAACATAATTAAGATAGAACTCTTTGATCCATGAGCAAAATAAATAAAGCTTCTAGCATCTGACAAAAAGAAGTTCCTCTTCCAAAGAAAGGATTTTGAGCCAAGAACTTACACCTATTATCCCATAATTTTCCTGTTGCAAGAAGGATGGCCCACGTTAATTATGCCCACTTTAATTATGCAAGAATTAGAGTGGGAAATAATAGTAAAATATGTCATTTACAGCAGGTAGATTAATCTGATTTACAATGAGCAGTTTAATCAGGTTATTTACAGCAGGCACTTTAAGGTTCAAAGCAGAAACGAAGTCGCTGAAATTCCTACAGCGGCAAGGACGAATATTGCACAGGGGAGGAAATGAATGCATCAAAGAAAGACTCACCGTGCAGCTTCTGGAAAGCCCATTCTGTAGAGAGAGACTACAACCGCACTACCAAGGCCAAAATTATGCTGCAAAGCTAGCTTTGCACCGGGAACCTGCCTCTTTCCGGCTTCTCCTCTTAGCTGCCAGCAAAGTTCAGCACACTGAGCCAGACCTAATGCATCAAACACAGAGCCTGTAGATCAAGCTGTATTGCAAAAACTCATGCACACCCAACTTGAAAGGAATGAGGCGTGTTTGAAATCCAAGATGAAGCCTTCTGATTAAAAAAAAATTGCACCATAACCACAACTATGAACATTACTTTTTTGCTATAAAGATTCACCTTGTGATGAGGTGGCCGACAAACAACTAAAAAATAAAAATCCAAGTGTAGGAACTGTATAAAATAGTTACAGTTTCCCAGGGTGATGGATTCTTAAGTTCTACTATATTGTTCTTGTGATAAAAATGTGAGCCTACTTCACAACAGCCGACATATATATTTTGTGAAGGGCCAAAAGCAGTATAGGTTACAAACATAACTGAGACTAGAATTTTGCACACTAAGTGATAGTTGTTAAGCCAGCCATTATATGAGATTTAATTTTACCATTTTTACCATAGTTGTTAAGCCAATCACATTGTTATTAAGTGAAGCATGCAGTCATTACACAAATCCAATTGACTTTGCTTGTTGGAAGCCAGCTGGGAAGGTCACAAATTGTGATCATGTGACTGCCAAGATGCTGCAATCACCATAAATGTGAGCCAGTTGCTAAATTCCCTAATTTACATAATGGTGGGGTGGTAAAATAATCCTAACTTCAAGAACTGGACATAAATCACTTTTTCTGAGACTATTGTAACTTTGAACCACCATTAAATGAACTATCTGTAAACAAAGAAGCAAGCAAGCAGGTATTAGTTTAATCTAAATGCATGCATGTTATGACCTGCCTGCATGCCATGGAGTGAGCTAAAGATGTTTTTTTTAAAACCATGCAAACTCATTTCCACAGTTAGTTAAAATACACATTAAAACCAATTAGGTCTAAGTAATCCCGCTTATGTTTATCTTTAAAAGTGTCTTATTAAATTGACAACAAAAACTACCTGTATATTTTCCTAATAAGATCACAAAATTGGGAAGGTTCATTCAAAACACCAAAGCTAGCTTCTCTATGGCCAATGGCCAACCTATAGCATTCTGGACACAGCTCTCCAACCTCTGCAAGAAGTCATCCAGTGTGGGGAATTCATCACTTCCCAAAGAATTGGTTCTCCTATAGATTTCACCGCCTAACATTTAAATAGAATCTGTCTTCCTGTAAGGCTTCTCAACCTTGGCAACATTAAGATATGTGGACTTCAACTCCCAGAATTCCCCCAGTTAAGAAACACTGCTCTAAGTTATGCAAGACTTGACAAACATTTTCCCTAATACGGCAATGCATTTCCCTGCTATGCAAACTAGAAGCAAAGGGCAAGTGTAGCTTCCCTCTTTCTTCTGAATGGCCCTCTCTGGAATGCTGCCAGCAGATAGGTAGAGAGCAATAATTCTGAAAAAACTGAAAAGCTGATGTAAGCTCAAATAAAAAGATTTCATCACCTTGTTCAAAGAGCAATTACACTCCTGAAATCAAAGAGAATGTCAGCATATTTGCACAGAGCAATAGATTAAAAATTAGCTTTCAGCATTAGGGCAGCATTTTCTGTTTCTGCACCTTTAATATTTGAACTCTCAACAGCCAGATTAAAGTTGTCTTTTAGCTGAAGAACATAATAAATATGCTGAGGAACACAATAGTCAAGAACAATAAATTGAACTATGAGCCCGGTGGCGCAGTGGTTAGAGTGCAGTACTGCAGGCTATTTCTACTGACTGCAATTTGGCAGATCGAATCTCACCAGGCTCAAGGTTGACTCAGCCTTCCATCCTTCCAAGGTGGGTAAAATGAGGACCCAGATTGTTGGGGGCAATTTGCTGATTCTGTAAACAGCTTACAGAGGGCTATAAAAGCACTATGAAGCAGTATATAAATCTAAGTGCTATTGCTATTGCAGCAGGCCACCCAGTATAATAATTTCATTTATTTTATNAGAACCAATCAGCTATTCAGAATTTAAATATAGCTCCAAACCAACAATCAATCACACAACCAACTGACCATACTGGCACACAAGACATTTATAAGCGAAAGTGGAACAGGAGAAAAAAAAATTCTGCTGATAATGTTACCTAGTCTGTGGTGCCACAGTGGTTAGAGTGCGGTACTGCAGGCTACTTCTGCTGCCTGCCAGCTGCCTGCCATTTGGCAGTTCGAATCTCACCAGGCTCAAGGTTGACTCAGCCTTCCATCCTTCCAAGGTGGGTAAAATGAGGACCCAGATTGTTGGGGGCAATATGCTGACTCTGCAAGCAGCTTAGAGAGGGGTGTAAAGCGTTATACAAATCTAAGTGCTATTGCTAAGCAAATTGTTCCATTTTACCAATTATGAATAACAGTCCTAGACAGTTCATGGATGATTTTAAATAAAGACAAAGAGGAAAAGAGCCCAGAGAGGCACATCATCAAAGGAGCAACAATATTTGAATACAAGTATAAATACAATCTGTCCTGGGTGCAAGCCTCCTAAAATCAATAGCTAAGTTCAAATTCACAAGCAGTTGAGCAAATATGAATACACACAAAGGAAAGGCTTATTTGGGGAGAAAATGAATAGATCTCGCCAATTTTTTTGACAAGGTAAGTATGGTACATACTGGCTGTACTTGGATGGCATACACAGGTTAGAGATTACATTGAGAAATTAAAACACATTCTGAAACACTTTCCTATTGTTGCTAAGAAAATATGCCATGAAAGGATATGAGATTCACCCAAGGGAAATTTAGTCTTAGAAAAGTTATCATAATCTTTAACGTAATAGTTCTAACAAAAATATTAACCAACACCGCTCCATTTAGAGATTATAAATATTTATCTATCCATGCATAGGCTTGAAACCAAATTCATCTTAAACCAGTATATTTGTAATAAGTATTAGTTGTATGTATTAGTTTTTTCTACATAAAGAACTACCTTCATACTAAAAAAAGTGAAGGCATGAAGATAGCTTGGGACAATATTTCCTCCATAAATATACTTAAAAGCCTTATAGACAACTGAATTACCTGTAGCACCCAGTGGGTGTCCTTTTGAAATCAAACCACCACTGGGATTTATAACCCATTTTCCACCATATGTTGTGTCTCCTCTGTCAATCAGCTCACCAGCTCCTCCTTTAAAAAAAGGAAATTATTATTGCATATGATAGCCTCACTTCTACATAAAATTCCTGAAATCTCTGACATAAACTTGACATTAATAGTGCAGAATGGTAATTCATTTAATAGGGACAGCACAACAATAGCTGTATTTCTATATCCTTAAGTTCATAGGAATGAAGTCTTTATGCTCTAGCTATATTTATTTATTACATTTTTTATCCTGCCTTTATTACTTTATAAATAATTCAAGGCAGCAAACATGTCTAATACTTCTTCCTCTTCTTATTTTCCTTGCAACAACAACCCTGTGGGGTGAGTTGGGTTGAGAGTGTGTGACTGGCCCAGAGTCACCCAACTGGCTTTTATGCCTAAAGTGAGACTAGAATTTAATCTCCTGGTTTCCAGGTCAGGGCCTTAACCACCACCCATCAAGCAATAACTTATATTGCTACATTTCCCATTCAAAAATATTATACAGCTTTTCTAAGACCACTCTTCAACGGATGTACAAGACAGTATTAAATAAATAGTTAATATGTGTAAAATATTCTTAATTCATTTCCATGAAGGATAGGCATTATTTTCAAATCTTTTTCATGGTCTCTACTCAATGCTCATTATCTGATTTCAGCCAAATTTCAGACAGCACTTCCACAACCAAACTCATATCCTTACAACAGCATACTATATAGGTAGTTCTTATTTACTAACTGCCTCATACAGTGACCATTTGCCATTACAATAGTGATGAAAAAGTAACTACTACCAATCTGCATTTGCAATCTTTCCATCAAGCAAAAGAAAACTGAAGCAAGATTATAAGCACAGTTATGGTTTCACTTAATGACCCTTTGCTTACCGATTGAGTGACTGATCCCAACTGTGGTTGTTAAACAAGGACTGCTAGACTTGGAGGACAGTGATAGTCTCCTATTCATTAAACCTATTCCTTCGAAATCTTAAAGGTTAGTACTGTCTTCAAAGGCAGTGCTAACAAAAAGGAGGTCACTTTAAAACTTTAAAATCATTGCCTCCAGAGGTTGTGAATGCTCCAACACAGGAAGTTTTTAAAAATAGATCAGACAACCATTTGTCTGAAATGGTATAGGTTTTTCTGCCTAAGCAGGTGGTTGGACTATAAGACCTCCAAGGTCCCTTCCAACTCTGTTGCTCTGTGCTTTTTTTATCTGTGTGATGATAGAAAGACGTCAGAGAGAGAGAACTTTCTAGCAATCATCTTGCATCCAGAGATCAATTTTAAAGAGTTAAACAAAGGGAAAAGTGCACTTAATTGTGTGCTGGCTATGACCAAGTTGTTTAGTAGTTCTAATGTTGAAGGAATACCTTCAGGACAGAGTCCCAGAGCTTCATATGTAATTAATTCATTAGAAGAGAAACAGTCATGAAGTTCAATCACGTCCACATCTTCTGGTGTTAGGCCAGTTTTCAAAAAACAATTTTTTGCAGCTTCCTTTGTCACATCAAAACCAACCTAAAAAACAATAAAATATAACCAGAATGCATTTCATTGAATGTTTCTGTTTTCTGAACTCCATTTAATTGTACTGATGAATGGCCTTTTTAAAATTGGAATATGTGTATAGTATGGTTTATATACACACGAACACCACTAATTTGTCCATTTGGAATATTATAACCAAATGGACAAATATGAATTGACTGTATATGCAGGGATTGATAATATTTAGATACTGGCCCCATCAAGAAGCTCTACTTTTGAGAGACCACAGAAAAAAATAAAATTATCAGACATTAAAGATGCCATGTAAATATGCACTAAAAATTCATGAATAATAAATGGACTTTATATATTCCCCATCACTTTATATTTTCCAATTAATGTACATCAAAAGGCAACATATACATAAATGCACTGAAAGCAACAGCAGCAAATTAAAAATATACATCCAGCTATTTCAAGAAAATTGGGTACTTTTCTTTTGAAGTAAGCTACACTGTTATATGCCCAGGGAAAAGGTTAATTTTAGGCATCACTGAAACAAATTAGGATGGTCTACCAAGAATTCTATTAAATATATTCACGGAATTATGAAATTACTTTCTTCAAAAGTAATGAGTTGGTCATTGTACACCTGTTCAATCTTGCTCTATGACCCATTCATATCCAACAAGAAGTGCTCTTTCAGAAATTTTGCATGCTTTAGTTAGATTTGGAGCATGAGATTTAAACTGAAAGCTCCCTGTTTTCTCCATGGATCTTCCATAAAAAGTAAATGTTTTTCCTGTCCAGTTGAATCCAACTGTACTACTCTGCTCTGTTTCTTAGCTGAGGAAGCCACTGTTATCCAAATACATTTTCTGTGCTCATATGGCCAGCGTGATATACGGCAAGTGCATAGAAGGTTATTACCTTCCCATTGAAGTGGTACCTATTTATCTACTCACATTTATATGCTTTGGAACTGCTAGCTGGGGCAAATAACTGAAGCTCAGGTCTTGGGTCTTGAACATGGCTTGTCAGCTTTCCAGATGACAAACTCAGTTTCTTTAACTTCTGAGCCATCGTGTCCCTTTCTATCCCATAATGCTTTTTGCTTAGAAATCTCTTGGTCTTCTCCTGGAGAGCTGTTTGCCAAAGTCCCAGCTCCCACACTTGGTTGCTTGTGTTTTTTCCCCCCACTTCCTTTTCCCTTTAAAATATATTCTTTATATTATAGCAAGCAGGGGTTATTTTATCATTTCAGTTTGTGTCTAATCCTTAAATTATTTTCAGTATTTCATAGGTATATTCATGTATGGTGTAGGCTACTGTATACATTAAAAGGTCAAGCTTGCCATTTTAATGCAGCTGTTTTCGTTAAATGTGCTCGGAAAGTCAGTCCGCATCTCTTGGGCCAAAATTTCAACAGATTTCGACTCCAATCCGTTCTTCTTCACAAATTCTTCGCTAGCGAGGACTACAGCTGCTGCACCATCAGATGTTGGACTTAAAACACACAATAAAGGTTGATTATGGACTATTCCACTCCATGAACAATTTATATGTGTAAAAGGGGACAGTAATATAGGGGCCAACAACTCTGGATTTTACTCTGCTTTTATCAACTCATTTCCAATAGCCTTACCATTTTTCAGGTTGAAGATCAAGTTGTGAATTTCTGATGGGGGGGGGGGCAGTAAGGGAGAGAATCAAAAGCTGGTTTCAAGCTAGGATTTCCATTTCTGACTAAGGTGTCCCACCACATTATCTAGCTAAAAATACTCTACCCATGCAAGTATTTCCCCTTAAATGTTTAAAAAGTTTACAGTGGCAGATGAGAATTTGACCAATAGTCAAATTTATACTACTGAAATTACGAGGCTCAAGACTACTTAATGAGTTGTAAACAATTATATAGCAGAAATGTGTAAATGTGCTATTTTGTATATTACTGCATAGGAAATTTGCAATTTCAAGTATGTACAGTGTGTTATCACTATCATGTAACCACCTCTGTAACTTTTGAAGTTAACATGTTTGTGTAAGACTCATAGAGTAGTGGTTCATATTATGCTTTATGCAAAGTCCCTAATTCAATCTCTAATTTTTTTTTAAAAAAAAGATCCAATATCTAGCAAAAAGGAAGTGCTCCAAAGAAACAGAAGAAAATAGCCAAGAGAAATAATCTTAAAAAGGAGTAATGGGGTCACAAAAGCACTGTAGAGCTGGATTCTTACCAACACTGCAACATTGTCAAGAAGCCAAAAATCTTGCGAGATTGTAAGATTTCATCTAAACTGTATTCCTTTTGAAACTGGGAATTTCTAGAAAAAACAGAGAGAATGGATGCAATCAGAACAATTCAACAACAGCGGCAGTGAATTATTGCTTTTACTCTTCAAATCTTCAAAGTATCTTCCCACAATATGTCAAATCATCATATAATTTTGCAATGAATATCTCCTGCTGGTGCTTTTGCCAGCTCCTTCCGCAAGTTTAGAAACTTTTTTGAAATCTTGTTTTAATAATGTAGTTGCATAAATCAGCTTTGCTCAGGACTACTTACCATAATACTGCTAATAGTAGCAGATTAATTTTTGTTGTTGTTCCCAAGGAAGTACAAGAAAATAATAATTCCCTTTTGATATGTATTTGTATTCAGATAAATATTGGCTGTGCTCAGAAGCTGTTTATTTAGAGTTTGTAGGTATCTGGTGATACCTACAAGCTACAAGGGGCGCAGTGGTTCAAAGGACCATGGTGGCTCAGTGGCTAAGACACTGAGCTTGTCGATCAGAAGGTCGGCAGTTCGGATCTCCTGTGAGCTCCTGTTATTTGCCCCAGCTTCTGCCAACCTAACAGTTCGAAAGTATGTAAAAATGCAAGTGGAAAAACAGGAACCACCTTTGGTGGGAAGGTAAACAGTGTTCTATGTGCCTTTGGCATTTAATCATGATGGCTACATGACCACAGAGATGTCTTCCAACAGTGCTGGCTCTTCGGCTTTGAAACAGAGATAAGCACTGCCCCCTAGAATCAGGAACGACTAGCACATATGTGCAAGGGGAACCTTTACCTTTATCTTTAGATGCCTGGTGCTTACTGTATATCCTAATCTTAATAGGATATTCAGTATAAATAATTTTATCTCTATTTTTTAGCATGGCTAAAAAAAGCCACCTTTCCAACACTCCTCCCCCATTTTAAATGTTTCTTTGCATTTTCCCCCAATAAAACACACAATACTTGTTTTTAAGTCTGTATTCTAACATGTTACCTAAAACACTGTACTTACGGATTGTTCATTGAATGCTTATGATTCTTCCAGGCAATTTTTGCAAAGTGTTGAGGCTTTGTCCCTAAAATAAACAAAAGCATATAAAAAGGATATTAAAAAGGATGACTCCATTAGTTGATTTAATGCAGTTTAAGAAAATATGCCATGCTTATCGTGATTTCGTGATCTCAGAGGCTCAATAGAAATTAGATAAGAATCATGTTTCAATACACAAAAGACAAACAATTAACAGAATTCCAGCTGACTGTATACTGCATCAAAACTGTGCCCCCGTAGAAATAAGATTTTTTGGCACAAAGATTTTCACAATGATGTGGCACTTCAATAACAATATTACAGCATACAAAATATCTTCATTGTATGTTTTTTTAGAACATTAATATTTCAACATGCCATATTTATCCATGTGTTCTTTGCCAGCATTTCCAAATACTTGTGGAGCCAATGGGCTTGTTTCTAGGCCATATTTATTTATCATAACTTCTAGATGCTTGTCTGTTGGATGCACTCTATCAGGATACTGAAAAACAGAAAATGGATATTATGAATACTACAACAGTCTTACATTGAGCACACATAGAACACACTATGAAAGTTCTTTTATTCGATCAACCATATATACCCTTTTCGGACTGCATCATTTCATTTGCTTCTAAATTAAAAATATGGGCAGACAGAGATATCCAACAATTTATAGAAATTAAATGTATTAATTTTCTGTTGCAGTCCAGTGTATAACTTACAAGTAAGCATAATTTACAGGTAGTCCTCAACTTACGACCACAACTGAGTGGAAAATTTATGTTGTTAAGTGAGAAATTTGTTAAGTGACTTTTGCCCCATTTTATGACTTTTCTTGCCACATTTGTTAAGTGAATCACTGCAATTGTTAAGTTAGCAACTTGGTTGTTAAGTGAATCTGGTTTCCCCATTGACTTTGCTTGTCAGAAGATCACAAAAGGAGATCACATGACCCCGGGACATTGCATCTGTCATAAATGTGAGTCAGTTGTCAAGAATCTGAATGTAGCTCATGTGATCATGGGGATACTGTAACAGTCATAAGCATGAAAAATGGTCATAAGTCACTTTTTTCAATGCTGTTGCAACTTCAAGGACTACCTGTTATAATGTTCATTTTCAGGTAAGGGTCAAGATAATATGATGTTAGGGGTTTCAAAGAAACAATTAATTCCATACCTATAATAAATCAAAATGCTACTATATAATGGAGCCCAATGCAAATTATCATATACATATATTGGACAAACTAGCAACAGAGTACAAATGGCTCAAATGAGACAGTCTTTCAAAGAACCAGAGAAACTGATAAGCCCCAACTTCACAATAATATGCACAATTATTTTTCACCTGACCACCATTCTCTAATTCTCGCTTTTGATTTAGATTTAAATTTTTATCCTAATATATTCTATCCTGCATTTTTTCTACTTTCACATCCATGCTGATCACTCAGGCCATTTGATGCACAGTAGCCCTTTCTGAAGAAGATGTAATAAATAGGAGGCTTTAACAGGCGGCTTCAAAATTCAAAAATGCTTCTGGAAAGGGATAGTCAGAAAGTAAAAAGGACACTTGGGATGAATGCTCAGAATCAAGAGACCTGTTTGGGGAATAGCATGTCATCCTATTTGTTTTAGGCTTAAAATAGTTAAAATAGTTTTTTTTTTTTTTTTAGGAAAAAGGGGAAAAAAGAAAAAATCTTAATATCTATGTGTGCTGTGAATACCAAGCTGTGAGAAACACATCCTCCACAGGAAAAAAACAAAAAACCCTGCCTCATCAATCTGATCACATCAGCATTATCCAGACTCCTGATCCTGGGCCAGGCTTATCCTGGGCCAGGCTTACTCAAAAGTTGGCTTCCCAGTAAAGAAGCTCAAATATTTTTGAGGCATTAAAGTTCTCTTCTTTCACCATTCTCTTTATTCCTTGAGGATACCTCTTTCTTTTTGTGGGCTAAAGCAAATGACAAGGTGCTCCAAACTTTGCTTCTAACTCTACATCCGCCATTTACACAGTGTTCCCCCCCCCCTTATTTTTAGCCGGGCAGAGATCAATGTTTTGGAACTCCATTGCTCTGTCTCCTCCCACTTGATTTCCCAATGCTTCCAGAAAAACCCAGATATAGGCTGAAAGCCTGACAGAAACTCCAAACCACTGTTTACCTAGTAAAAGCCTTGAAACTCCAATGAAAGAGGATTCCAGTAGACCAGAAAAAAATTGCCTTCTTCTTTCTGCCCCTTTCAGTTTCAGCCATAGCCAGGGGTGGGCTTCAAAAATTTCAGCAACGGGTTCTCTGCCCGTTTGCTGGGTGGGCGTGGCCATGGTGGGTGTAGCCTAGTCGGCCTCCTACACCATGGCGGGGAGCCGTTTTCACCTTCCCCAGGCTCTGGAGGCTTTCCTTGAGCCTCTGGAAGGGCAAAAACTGCCTTCCCCAGGCTCCGGAGGCCAGAAACCAGCCTATTTCCAGTCTTCTGGAACCTCCAGAAGGCCTGTTTTTCCCCCTCCCTGAGCCTCCACACAGGTCCTGCACCTATCTCGCATCCAAAATGGGCCGCGTGGAGACTCCTGGGAGGGGAGAAGAAGGGCAGGGTGGAAGGGTTGGCATGGGGTAGAAGGGGTGAGCCAGGGGTGGCACTGTTCCCTGTTCGTGTTCTTGCTATGCTGTTGTGTTAACAATAAAGTTACTTGTTGAACCTCTCCTCAGTGCCTGAGTACTTAAAACTGGCGACGAGGATGAGCGACTCAGACCCCATCCACGTCCCTGCCATGGCTCCGGCTTCTGTCTTTGCCGCGTTCCGCCCTGAGGCGGAATCGTGGGATGCATTCCTGGAATGCTTTGAAGTTTTCTTACAAAGCCCACGATCTGACGGAATTGTCTGAGGGAAGGAAGAGGGGCACCTTCCTTCACTACTGCGGGCCTGAAATGTTTGCCACCGCCTGGGCTCTTTCCACACCGATGCCGGTGCATACAATGCCCCTAGACATTTTGATGGCCAGGCTCAAGCTTCACTACGAGCTGACACCATCCCGATATACCCGTCGTCAGTTCTTCAGGCGGTGCATCCAGATCGAGGGCCAATCCATCAGCCAGTATGTGGCTGCTCTGAGGACTGCCGCAATCCGCTGCGAATTCGTGCATATAGAGGATGGCCTCCTGGAACAATTCATCTACAGTCTCCTCGACATCAACCTTCACCGCCACATCTTGTCCCGCGCCGAACTGACCATGAAGATCACGGTGGACGAAGCCCGCGCCTACGAGATGGCTGGCCAATCTACCCTGGATGTCTGTCGGTATCCCCCGTAGGCTTTGCCCTCGCTGCCTCACTCCGCTGTCAACTGCCAGATGGCGGCCGAAGACTTCCATGTGGAGTTTGAGACCTCCGTCGACCGCCTCAAGACAACGGCCATTCGGGATGGCGGCACCTGCCTCAGCTGTGGCGGCTGCCACTCCAAAGCTTTCCGCACGGCCCTTTGCCGCAAGTGCGGGAAAAAGGGCCACATTGCAGCCGTCTGCCGCTCGACTCCTGCCGATCCTCGCAACCCAAGGGCTCCTCCTCATCCTCCTAGCCACCGGCCTGCCTCGGCTTCTTCGGCCACCCGCCTGGGGTGCTACGCTGTCTCCGACCCAGAGGCTCCGCTTCCTGACTGGTCAACTGACTCCACTGCCTCTTCTTTTGGGGGCCGGGGTAAGATGCATCTCTGCGTCTTCCTTGCTGGCCGCCCCTGCTCTATGGAATTGGACACTGGCTCGGCCCACTCGATCATGTCCTGGGACACTCTCAAAGCCTTGCTGCCGCATCTACAGCCTAGCCAGCTATCTCCTGCCACCTGTCATCTGCGGGACTACCAGGGGAATCCTATCCCCATTCTGGGTTGTGGGACCTTCCTTGTCCAGTATGGAAAGTTTAAGGGTCCCTTGCCCCTCTTGGTTGTCCGCAGCCCCCTAGCTTCCCTTCTGGGGCTCGAATGGTTCCGAGCCTTCGGTCTCTCTATCGCTGGCATCAATTCCCTGTGTTTCGCCTCCTCTCTTGATTCCCTCCTCTCCGAATTCTCTAACGTGTTCTCTGATGCCTTGGGTTGTTATAAGGGCACCCCCATCTCCTTAAATTTGGACTCTATGGTGGCTCCCATCCGCCTTAAGGCGAGACGGGTTCCCTTTGCTCTCCGGGCTCGGGTTGACCCAGAGCTGGACAAGCTGATCGCACAGGGCATCTTAGAGCCCGTGGATCACTCCCCTTGGGAAACCCCCATAGTGTTGCCTTTAAAGTCCGATGGATCCCTGAGGATGTGCACGGACTATAAGACAACTGTCAACAAGGCCCTGCAGGCACACCCCTATCCTGTGCCAGTTGTGCAACACGTGTTGCACACCTTGGGCCAGGGCAAACTCTTTGTCAAGTTGGACCTGGCCCAAGCTTACCAGCAGCTGCCCGTGGATGAGGCCACCGCGGTGGCCCAGACCATAGTGACACACCGTGGTGCCTTTAAATGCCACCGACTACAATTCGGCATCAGTGTGGCTCCTGGCATCTTCCAGGGCTTAATGGAGCGCTTGCTCCATGGCATCCCTGGGGTTACGCCCTATTTTGACGATGTCCTGATTGCCACAGCTGATCAATCAGGACTCGTCAAAACACTTCAGGCGGTGCTGATGCTCTTTAGAGCCGCTGGCCTTCACTTAAAGCGTTCTAAGTGTCAGCTGGGCGTCCCCTCCATAGAGTTCTTAGGCTACCTCATAGATTCCAGAGGAATGCACCCTACTCCCACCAAAATTGTCTCCGCCCCCACCCTCTCCTCCAAGGCGGAGCTCCAGGCATTCCTGGGTCTTCTTAACTTTTATGCCGCCTTCATCCCTCATAAGGCTTCTGTTGCGGAGCCTCTTCACCGCCTGCTGGATGCCTCTGCCCCTTGGATTTGGACGAACCGTGAGGCCCATGCGCTCGCGGCTGTCAAATCCCTCTTGACAGCTGCCCCCGGGCTCGTCCAATATGACGAGCATCTTCCCCTCCTCCTCGCCTACGACGCCTCCACTTTCAGTGTCGGGGCTGTCCTGAGCCACTCGTATCCCGATGGCTCTGAAGCCCCAATTGCATTTTACTCCCACACCTTGTCCAGGACTGAGCGCAACTACAGCCAGCTGGACAAGGAGGCCCTTGTGGCCGTTGCAGGGGTAAAACGCTTACATCACTACCTTTATGGCCGCCCCTTCACCCTACTGACCGACCACAAGCCCCTTCTGGGCATTCTGTCTGGGGACTGGCCCACCCCTCCTATCCTCTCACCACGCATGGGCCGGTGGTCGGAGTTCCTCGCCTTCTACACCTATTCCCTCCTCTACCGCCCCGGTAAACAAATGGGCCAAATAAACAGAGCCGAAGCTCAGGAACTGAAGTGAAGATTACAAGATTACAACTAAGGGATGCAAGAACAGCATAGGGGGTCTGGAGAAGCAGTTAACCAAGGACTGGACGAAAGAATGCTGCCCTCGGA